ACTCACCAGGGCAACGGCTGGGATAATTAGCTGCCCGCCCGAGCCTCCAATCACCAGCTTAGATTGCCCGTTTCTGGAAATGAGAATGGATGGCACCATGGAGGAGGGAGGCATCTCTCCTAGGCAGGCGGAGCGAAGAAGAAGAAGAGGAAGAAGAAGAGAGAACATTAGCACCTGCAGAACTGAATTCCTCTGAGAGGCAAAAGGAACAAACACCCTGGGCTGGTTTTTGCAGCAGGATTAGCAATGCCTGTTGAGACAGGGAGGGAGTCGGGGCTGCTTAAAATATGCAGAGGGGCTCCCCCAGGGAAGACGGAGAAGGCAGGGGGCTTCTGTGACGCTGCTATGTTTGATCAGTGCTTCGTCATGAGAGAATCCTAATGATATTTGCGGAGAAATAAGTCCCGCACGGACACCAGTGGGACTTCTCCCCAGGGGACGGTGGGGTTGTAGGCGTATAATTCCCAGGAAGGAAAAAAACCCTTGCCTCTGAGGCCACCAAAAGGCTGCTCCCCCCATCCCAGAATCATGGCCATAATGGATTGCGCCCATTGCTAAGATGGTGATTCTGGACTGCACCTTCTGGAGAGCAGAGCAGAGGCTCTTACCTTGGGAGATATTTCTGCTTGACTGTTTCATGCAAAAATCAGCCAGTTCGTTGTTTAAGATTATTCCAGTCTGTTGGGAATATACCATTGAGCCAAACCTGTGTGAGGAGAGGGTAAAGAGGAGAGGAGGAGGTCATGCAGGGGGCGGGGGCCATGAGGACCCCTTGGGAGCCCTTCCACCTCCCTATATCTTAATTTGGGGGGTGGAGGTTTTGCGAAGCGGTCCTTTGCCCCAGGGCTCCTCTGTGGCCAAGGGCGGCCTTTCTGAGGCATCTCTCCCAGGAGCCCAGAGTCTCCCCCTTAATCCTTCCCCCCCTCTGGGATGAATGCATTTTCACTTCTCCCCACATCCAATTGTTTGCAATCCCAAGTTATAAAAACTTTGGCTGATGTTTCACAAGCAAATGAAAACAAATTCCTCCCTTGACACAACTGGGGAGATTCGACACTGTACCTGCCCCCCCTCCATAAACACAGGGAGGACGTGTTGTTGTGCCTGCCTGGGGTGCAATGACTGGGGGTGGGGGCGAGGAGGAGCTTTCCAGGTAACAAAAGGGCGGCAACCCTAACCAGGCAGGTTGGCACCGAGTCTTTGGGACCGAGTTGTTGGTGCCCAGCCCTGAGTCCCTCTTGAAAACAAAGCTTTTTCCCCCATTAAAAAGGGAGGGGGGCGGTCGGGTTCTGAGTCAAGTCCAAATCGTTGTGAGTGGGGGGGGGGATCCAGGAGTTGAGTCGCTGGTATATATATGTTGCTTTTGTTTTGTGTTTACTAAGTTTTCTGTTTTTTCCTCTCCCCCCACCCTTCAGTTTGTATTCTTTATATTGTTATGTATTTCCTTTTTCTTTGTATCTTTCTTTCTTTAGTGATTTAGATAAAGCAAGAGAGAAAGGACCAGGGACCTGGAGGTGGCTGGTGGCCAGAGGGGGAGGGATGGTCTTTTGGGTTAGTAGAGAGCACCTCCCTGCCCAGCTGGACCGTCTGGCCGATCCCCCTCCCCAAACCCTCAACTCCAGCCCGGGAGGGAAATGGCAGGCCTTCCTCTGGCCTGAGGGAGAATCAAGGAAGGGGGGGGGAATAGCAGAGCCTCGCCCGCCTGCCCCTCTCTCTGCTTGCTTGCTTACGGGTGATTGATGGTGCTGGTGGCTGAGACGGCGCTGCCATCTTCTGCCACCACAGCCACGTGGGAGGTGCCGAAGGAGGCAGTGGCCCCGTGGCTTAGGTCGTAGTGGGCAGCAGGGTGGCTTCGTTCGTCGATGCGTTGTCTGGCTCGGCGAGCAAAGGAATCCGAAATCAGTTCGTTCAGCACATCCTAAGTGCAAAATGGGGGAGGCGGTCAGTAAAGGGTCAACCTTGCAAACCAAAGGGCATCGTCCAGTGGGGAGGGGGGGCTCCGAGGGACATGGTCTGCCTCCGCTTCTGCCCTTCACACTTTCCCACTGGGATCAGGGCTAGTGAATTTCTTTCCCGCCAAAATAGGGACCTTTAGGACTTTAAAAGGAAGGGGGGGCTTGGATCGGGTCCCATTTCTTATCCCAGATCCATGAGTTGATCCTGAGCCCAGGATTGAGCCGCCATCTGGGGAAGCTCAGGAGAAAGACCACCCTGCCCTTGGGGGCGGATATGTCGCAGGGGTGAGGAGCGAGCGTTGAGGGGCAAGCAGGAAACATAGGGGGCAAAGGGGGGTGACACCCTATTTCCTTCCCTCCTCCCCCCTGCCCTCTTCACACTCTGTTGCTGCTGCGGCTGCTTTAAGTCCTTTCCCATCATAGCAAGTGTGTGGTCAGTGATGGAAAGGAGGCAACAGAGGGAAGGCTTCTGGACCCCCACCGACCCCCCGCTTTGCAGCCAAAGCAAGGGTGAGAGTTTTAGCAAGAGCACAGCGCTAATCATTTGGCCCATCTCCCCGACACCCACCCACCCACCC